CTTGATTACTGAAATTCACTCCTGTTTGGTATCAGTCAGACCTCCATTGCACGAGTACAACTGGTCCAGAATGCAGCAGCCCAATTTTTAACCAGAGCAGGCAAAAGAGAGCACATTACACCAGTTTTGGCCTCCCTGCACTGGTTACCGGTTCACTTTCGAATCCAGTTCAAAATACTGATGTATGTCTACAAATCACTGAACAGTCCCCCCCCCCCCCCTCCATCTCTCTGATCTGCTACAACCATATGTCCCACCACACTCCCTGAGGTCAGCGGACCAGTTGCTCCTCACAGTTTCAGGAACTCGTCTTAAGCGCAGAGGTGACAGGGCCTTCTCTGTAGCAGGACCAAGACTCTGGAACGAGTTACCTCTGTTTGTCAGACAGGCCCCCTCCCTCTCAGTTTTCAAGTCCCGTTTAAAAACTCACTACTATTCAGTAGCTTTCAACACCAGATGATCTGTGTTTTGATACTGTATGCTCTACACTGGTTTGTCGTCATTATCTGCATCGTTTTTTTATGTCTATATTCTGATTTACCTCATTTTGTATATTGCTTTGTGTGTTACCGGTTGTTTTGTCTGTACAGCACTTTGGTTGGCCTTGTTGCTGTTTTAAGTGCTTTATAAATAAAGTGGTATGGTGTGGAATGGTATGATAGTTGCTTTCAGCTCTTCTGAATTGTTCGGTCTGGTGTATCACAGCTTCCTCTTCACAATACCTCACAGACTTTATATGGGGTTAAGGTCAGGTGAGTTGGCTGTCCAATTAAGAACAGGGATACCGTGGACCTTAAACCAGGTACTGGTAGCTTTGGCAATGTGTGCAGGTGTCAAATCCTGTTGGAAAATGAAATCTGCATCTCCATAAAGTTGGTCAGCAGCAGGAAGCATGTAGTGCTCTAAAACTTCCTGGTAGACGGCTGTGTTGACCTTGGACCTCAGAAAACACAGTGGACCAACACCAGCAGATGACATGGCACCCAAAGCCATCACTGACTGTGGAAACTTGACACTGGACCTCAAGCAATGTGGATTCTGTGCCTCTCCTCTCTTCCTCCTGACTCTGGGACCTTGAATTCCAAAAGAAAAGGCAAAATTTACTTTCATCATAGAACAGAACTTTAGACCACTCAGCCGCAGTCCAGTCCTTTTTGTCTTTAGCCCAGATGAGACGCTTCTGACGCTGTCTCTTATTCAAGTGGCTTGGCAAAAGGAATGTGACAGCTGAAACCCATGTCTTGCATATGTCTGTGTGTGGTGGTTCTTGAAGCACTGTCTCCAGCTGCAGTCCATTCTTTGTGACTCTTCCCCACATTTTGGAATGGGTTTTGCTTCACAATCCTCTCCAGGGTGTGGTTATCCCTATTGCTTGTACACTTTTTTCTACCACATAGTTTTCTTCCCTTCACATCTCTATTATTGTGCTTGGATACAGAGCTCTGTAAACAGCCAGCCTCTCAATGACCTTTTGTGTCTTGCCTTCCTTATGCAAGGTGGCAATGGTCGTTTTTTGGACAGTTGTCAAGTCAGCAAATTGTGTAGCCTGCAGAACTAGACTGAGAGACCATTTAAAGGCCTTTGCAAGTGTTTTGAGTTAATTAGCTGATTAGAGTAACAGGTATCTTCAATATTTTCAATTTTCACAATATTCTACTTTTCTGAGATACTGAATTTGAGGTTTTCATTAGTTGGCAGTTATAATCATCAACATTAAAAAAAAAAAAATTGAAATATATCAGTATGTGTGTAATGAATGAATATAATATACAAGTTTCACTTTTTGAATGGAATTACTGAAATAAATCAACTATTTCATGATATTCAAATTTTTTGACCAGCACCTGTACATATCCTGAAAACTACTGGAATGGATTCTTCCCAGCTGTACCGTTTGATATAGCTCAAGATAGTCAGTTTTGTGTTTGACCCCATAGTTTCTAAAGAGTATATTTAAATGTGTCATTTATTCCCCTCCTCTCCTTGCAGCAGCAGCAGCATAGCATCAGCAGCAGCGTGTTGGGGACGCGGTGCAGGAAGAGTTAAGCAGATGTGGAGCTCGAGGCTGCCATGGATCCACCTCCACGGAGCTGCGGCGCCTCCTCACACAGCTGACTGGAACCACAGGTACTCTGTCCGAACAGACTGCCGGCTCGGACTTGTTGATCTCCGGGACAGAAAACAGGCAGGAGGAGGGAGAGGCGCGACATGCGGAGCGGGAAGCCGCGGAGGATGAGCTCCGAGTCGAGCTGAAGATCTGCGCTGAAGCACGCTGCCATGTCTGAGGCAGAGGAGGAGGAGATGGGTTAAACCCTGGCAACATCGACACCTCCTGTGTTTTTTTTTTTTTTCTCTTTTATTTCCCCTTTTTTTGTTAATGCTTCATCTCCGTTTCTGGCTGCGGATTCAAAGCAGGATGACAACATCCCACCACGGTATTTACATATTATTTCATTTGAAAGCGCATTTCCATCTCTGGACTTTCACTCATAATGCAACCTGCAGTTGTAAGAGCTCGAGCCCTCCCAGCTGCACCCAATATGGAGCATTCACACTTAGTGGTCGAAAAATTGGCACTTCCACATGATTTAACCATCTCTGGCTGCAGAGCTGCTGTTTGCACATGAGGGAGGGATGTTTGCTGAACTGCTTTATCACAGCTCTGACTTGGATACAAAAAAAGAGAGGGAGGATGCTTCAGATTATTTATTTTTCTCCTTTTTCCCGCAGCCTGTTCTCAAGTTGACACATCCCAGATTCACATCTTTATTTTGTGTTTGTGTCTTGACAGAATTGTGTCTGAGAAGAAACTTTGATCACGTTATCAACAGGCCTTTATGTGTGTGTGTGTGTGTGTGTGTGTGTGTGTGTGTGTGTGTGTGTGTCAGACAGCTGCTGCCACGTCTACAGTCGTAAAAGATAAAACATAAATAGAGAAGATGTTTTCTTGTCAGCCTCCCTGCCTCAGGAGCAGGAGCCGGTGTTTTCAGCACCGCAGGGCTGGACAGCGCTCACTCTGCGTCCCACCCGCAGCTCTGCATGGGCGTCACTGGAGCAAAGAGCAGGAACAAAACCTGCAACATTCAAAACCAAGAAAATCTCCTTGCAGCCTTGCAAGATGAATTATCTTTAAGACGTGTTCGAAAAGAATCAGCTCGTTTATATGTCTTAGTTGACCTGAAATCATCTCAGCTGTTTTCATGTTTTAAACCCATGAGTGAAAAATGACTCTGCAGGCTGGATTTTATTATTTTATTTTTTTATAGGGGGGGCGTGAGTCATGCCAGGAACCCCATGTTTGGACATGTTTATCACGGCTTCAGCAGAAGCCTTTGAATGCAGCTCAGTTTGTGGACAGCAGTGGGATTTTAAAGGCTGCTGTTATTTTTGTTGTCTTAGGAAGAAATGTTTCTGTGTGTGTTCGGTTTCCTGCAGACGTCTTCATCTCATGAACCAGTGGTTCGCTTTTATTGAAACTCACAGAGAGTAATCTGTGCATCTACAAGGGATTAACTCTGGGAGTCAGTCAGAGCTTAATAACCTTAACACACTAACATGACTACAACTCCGTTCATTTGACTTAAATTGACTTAAAACTTAACGTATCTGAGGTTGATCCCAAACCAATATACTGATAATGCCCAAGGTACCTATTCAACATTGTGCCTGTACCTGTTTGGAGTCAATTCTGTCTGTCTGTTAGCAAAATATCTCATGAACCACTGGATGGAGTTTAATAATAATAAAAAAATCAGGAAAACATTACTGAATATACAGCTAAAAATATTTAGGTGTTGGGGACAGCCCAGGTAAAGATGTCCACAACAGCCAACTGATCATAGAAATCAAAATAATGCCTGTAATTCAGTCTGTTTTACAAATATTGTGCCGAACTTTGGTGTGGTGGGAGCTGAGAGTCATTCACAACATGTAAATGCAGTTATGTGTGTGGGATTGCCGCTTAAAACTTTGGCATTAACTCTCAGAGTCAACCATGCTTGTCTGTTAGTAAAATATCGCATGAGCTGGATGGATCCTAATAAAACTTTTCTAATGTAATCACTGGATATGCATCTACAACTGTTTAATTGTTGTGGTTAACCCAATTCAAGATGACTGCCATAGCTAATATCATGATAAAACACACAAAACACAAAAATGGCTATAATGCTGTCAACTTTACAGATAAATACTTTTTTTTTTTTCATCTAAAATAGAAACAATGTGCCAGTCTGGTCATGAATTAGCATGCTGGGACATTTTTTATTTATTCATTTTTACTGATTGGTTCAGATTAGAGCTGTATAGAATAAGACAGGAGTCTGTTGGTTGCATTGATAATATTTCTGTACCTTCTGTTAACAAAAGCTTTGTGGTTGATTTGGGATACACATAATTAAATGTTCAAGTTGATTTTCAGAAAGAAAAAAGAAGAATTTCTATATAGTTTGATGTAAAGCATGATGTTAACTTGAAGTTTCTTGTTTTCTTTCTCATAAACCTTTAAACGTGATCTCTTGGATCCTCTACTTTTTGCTTTATTCAGTTTAATAATCTAATCAGGAAGTGGCACAGGACATTAAGCAGGACTAGAAAGAAAAATAAGAGCTTCCGAGTGGTTTGAGTGATTCAGTCAGTAATTTTGCCTTCTTGAAGTGTTTCTGAGAGAGCACAGAAAATGGGCTTTTAATCTCCAAGTATTTGACGAAAGTACAAAAAAACAACTTCAACGTGTCATTGTTACAGTTCAATTCAATTCAATTCAATTCAGTTTATTTATATAACACCAAATCCCAACAAGTCTCAGGGCACTTTACAGGAACATTCACATACATAAAAGCCAATTAGTAAAGTTCTCTATCTAATCTAATAGTTCAGAATCACATGACTCCTACGTTTGGGTCCAGATGTGGAATACTAATAGTTTTTTTTTAATTTTTTTTATGATTCCTTTAGATATCAGATTGGAAGAGAAGATTGGCTGTAGTCTATAATCCCAGATGTTTGTGCTTCCTCAACTCAAAGTCGCCATGGAAAAGTCCTTGGAGCTAAACAAAGCTGGATCCCGGTCGATGTCCTCGCTGCCGCCGGAACCAGTGGACATCCTCCGCAGCAAGTCGTGTTACCGCCGGGTCCGGCTGAACGTTGGGGGGCTCCCACATGAGGTCCTGTGGCGAACGTTGGAAAGGCTACCACGAACACGCTTGGGGAAGTTGAGAGACTGCAACTCCCACGAGTCTTTGATGGAGGTCTGCGATGACTACAACCTCGAGGAGAACGAGTACTTCTTCGACCGGCACCCGGGGGCCTTCACGTCCATCCTCAACTTCTACCGCACGGGCAAGCTGCACATGATGGAGGAGATGTGCGCCCTGTCCTTCAGTCAAGAGCTCGACTACTGGGGCATCGATGAGATCTACCTGGAGTCCTGTTGCCAGGCCAGGTACCACCAGAAGAAGGAGCAGATGAACGAGGAGCTCAAGCGAGAAGCGGACAATCTGAAGGACAGGGAGGGAGAAGAGTTTGACAACACTTGCTGTGCGGACAAGCGGAAGAAACTCTGGGACCTCCTGGAGAAGCCGAGCTCTTCTGTCGCAGCAAAGGTAATTTGTGGATGTTGGGCGAGACTTAAGTGGAACAAAATCTTCTTAGCACAAAAGTTGTTTCATTAACACGCAGACCTTAAGGTGCACAAACACAAACATGGATACATAGAGTTTAAAAACATTAGTGGTTTAGGGTGATTGAAATGGTTTTAAAAGTTTAAACATCTCCAATAATTTCCTCCATCTGTGTCTACGCATGTATTTGTATCATCAGCAAAATATCTCATGAACCACTGGGCAAACTTTACTAAAACTTTTAGAAAGTAATCACTGGCTCTATAAATGAATAACTTTTTTGAAGTCAACCCAACTCAAGATGGCCACCAATCAATCAGCACCAGCCTACAACAGTTTGGTGTGGTAGTGGTTGACAGTCATTCATCTCACGCAGATTAAGCACTAACAGATCACTTATATCAAGATAGATATTACATCATCACATGGGATTGTGATTTCAAGATCTCAGCACTTTGAGTCACCTCTGCAGTGAAAAGGGCCAAATGAGTAAGTTGAGTTGAGACTTGCACATAAAGATGTCTTCAATGCTTGACCAAATAAAAAAATCAGTTCTCACTTTTATGATATTAGTCTTAAGTAAAATACTTTCCACCCACATTATTAACATTTAGCCCAAATGGTAAGGCTTATTTTTTTTTAAATATTGTTTTATTTTTATATTTGGACTGAGTGCATTCCACTGCAGCTCAGTTAATATTGTGAATGTTTATGAAGCATTCACACTGTGATCCTTTTTTTTCTGTACGTTTTGTAGCATCTTTCTCGTTCCACAATTTTTGTACTAGTTCAACAAATCATACATCAAAACGTTCAGCTCATTCAGAAGGGTGCTATGACTTTTGGTATTGGTACAACTTTAGCTTTTTGAAATATTTAGCCTTTTTTGCCACTTTTTTCTCACAGAAAATGAACTGAGCTCATTTTACATCCTTCATATCTTTAGATCTGTTTACAACCTTTTACTGCTCCTTTCACATTTTGTTCTGCTTCAGCTTTTTTCAGCTTCTCTATGCACATTACAACTTTTTTCAGCTACGTTCAGCTTATTTCAGCTGTTTTTTCAGTTGCTTTGTACTCCTTTCAGGATCTTTCTGTTAACTGCAACATTTTTGTGCTTCTTCTAACTTCTTTCTGCTAATTTTAGCTTGTTATAATCCTTTCAGCTTATTTCTGCAAGTTTCAGCTTTTTCTGCTATTTCCACTAATATTTAGCTTTTTATGCTAATTTGAGCTTTTTCAGCTAATTCCACATTTTATTTTGCACTTATTTCAACTTTTTTCTGCCTAATTTTAAATAAATGTGCTCTCGCTCTACTTGCTTATGGTAATTTAGCTTTGTTCTGCTTTTTAGCTACTTTTCAGCTGTTCATTTTTTTGTTTGTTGCTAATTTCTGCTTTTTCAGATAATTTCTAATTTTTTGTGCTTGTTTCTATTTCTTTCAGCCTAATAGGGCAAACATGTTCTTTCTGCTTTCCTCTACTAATTTAAGCTTGTTCTACCTGTTCAGCCAACTTTTTTTTAAATCATTTTCTAGCTAATTTCGGCTGTTTTCGGATAAATTCAAGATTTTTGTGATAATTTTTGCCACTTTCAGCCCAGTTAACTTTTTTCTGATAATTTCAGCATGTTATGGTCCTGTCAGATTAATTATATTAGTTTCAGTCTCTTTTGCTATTTCAGCTCATTTAGCTGTTTTTATGCTAATATTAGCTTTTTCACCTAATTCCACTTTTTTTTTTTTAGCTCATTTCAGCTCTTTCCATTTCTTTCTGGTAGTTTAAGCTTCTTTCTGCCTTTCAGCTACTTTTCAGCCATTTTTTTTCTAATTTCAGCTTTTTTAGCTAATTTCCAATTTTTTGTGCTCATTTCTGCTTATTTAAACATAATCTGCATATATGTGTTCTTTCTGCTTTTTTCTGCTAATTTATGTTTGTTCTTCCATTTTAGCTAAATTTCAGCATGTTTTCTGTGTGCTAATTTTAGCTTCATTTTTATTTAATAAAAAAAAATTTAAGCAAGTTCTTGGACAGCACGGTGGCGCAACTGGTAGAGCTGCTGCCTCTCACCGAGCAGGTCCCCGGTTCAAATCCCGGTCCAGGGGCCTTTCTGGGTGGAGTTTGCATGTTCTCTCCGTGCATGCGTGGGTTTCCAGTTTCCTCCCACAGACCAAAAACATGCATGTTAGACTGATTGGTGACTCTAAATTGTCCCTAGGTGTGAGTGAGAGAGTGAATGGTTGTTTGTCTCATTTGTCTCTATGTGTCCCTGTGATGGACTGGAGACCTGTTCAGGGTGTACCCCGCCCCTTGCGCAGTGATTGCTGGACATGGGCACCGGCAACCCATGTGAACCAAAATGGAAGAAGCAAATAAAAGAATATGGATGGATGGATAGCAAGTTCTTCTACAATAAGCAATCACACTGCATTTTAGCAGGAAATGCAATTTCTCTAGACTTACAAATATTTTTGCACAGCCTGTCTTACGAAGACCAGTTCTGTTGTGTAACATTTCGAGCTCCGCATTTAGAATGTGGAGCTTGGAAACAAACGTCTGACCTAAGATGTGAATGTAATGCAGCATGAATACAGTCTTACTGACACATCAGTGGTGCTGCATCCGGCTAAACTCGTTTTATGTTGCTCAGTATTACATCTTTGCACAGAGACGCAATGTAAAAAAGCCTGTGCAGAGAATCACCACCTTTTATGTGCATGCACTTTTAATAAATATAAGGAGGGAAAGAAGAATAACACAAAGACAAACTAAAGTTTTACATCCCGAAGGTATTTTGGTCATTTTGGGGCTGTGGAGCCGAACAATCAGAAACTCTTTTTTTTACTTCCATTCTCGATTGTCGTGTTTCTAGAAGAACACATCTTACTGTAACTGGTATTAGTCATCTTAATTAACAATCTCATCAAACCATAACATCAAAGTCATTATCTGCTTCTCCTGTCAAGCCTTTATTACCCGGTGCTTTGACTGATCACCAGCCTGCTTTTAAACCACAGCTCTGTCTGTCTTTACTTTACCGTACGGTGCTTACACAAACACAGACTCTGACATGCGCAGACGCATAGATCCATACAAATACTCGTGTTTGCGCTGAGCTCACACCAGTAAATCATTTAAATATGACTCAGAGGACATTTTTCTCCAAGTTGAATAGATGTGGCTGAAGTTTTCTCCCTTCTTTTCAGATGCTTTTCTACACTCTGTTAGTTGTTTTTGTTTGACAACCGCCCGGTGAATCACAGCGAGCCCAGTAAATCTGTCATTTTTCTGCAGGAGGCTGGGATATTGATTTATACAGCAGCTTTGTGTGCAATAACACAAGTCAAAATGAATTGAGAGCTTGAAAAGTTCAGACATGTCAATGCACGTGAGAGGCGTTGTGCCATTGATGGAAGTAATCTTTGACATGCACCTTACATTTTATAATCAGCAGTAAAGAACAAGCAGTTGAAGGACTTCATTAGTGTTTGCAGCTGTTGGACTTTAGAGACTTGTGTGTGAATATGAAGCACTGTTTAAGACTGATTGAGCCCCAGTGTTTTCTGTCAGCCATGTGTTGAGTAATTGCAGGCCTTGCCCCGGTGCACATTGTGTCCTTATCTTTGAAAGCCACATCTGATGACTCCTATCAGCCGTGCTCACCCTTCGTCAGGGTAAAAGATACGTTTGGCTGTCAACAGGCCATTCTGAGAACCACACCTGCAGCTGCAACCTGTGAGACCACAGCAGTGTTAAACAAGACAAAAAGCCTTTGATCACACTCTTCAAGGTTGGCTGGTTACAGGGTATCAAAGAGCACACTGTTTCCAGGGCTGTTTTAAGGGGAGAGCCGTGCCTCATTTGGACTTGCAGCTTGATTTGGACTTGCAGCTTGTAGGGGAGATGAAAAATTAATCATTTGCAACGTCTACAGCTGGATGCCTTGCAGGATTTGTAAGAAATGTCAGCTGTATCCCACAAACAAAAGTGAAACAAGAGGTGTGTGTTTGTGAGGGAAATGTCTTCTTCGCTGGAATCAAAGAGATGCAAAATCAATGTTTATTGTGTTACAGCTGAAGGAAGCACTGTAGCCTACAAAGGGGAGAAGCCCACTTTGAGACAACCGTACATTAATGTCTCACATTCTCATTTCATCTGCTCATCAAAATGTGAGGGAAAAAAAAAACACTTTGGGGTGCCTAAAGCAAAAGTTCAGAACGTTTGAGGCAGAGTTTTATGGAAAGGATATGAATGATAATTGTCTTACCTGTTGTAGACTGCTCTTTGAACAGCGTCAGTTTAGAGAAATGGAGTTAAATTCTGAACAGATTGACAGTTCAAGCTGTTTTTATGACGTTTTAAGCCCATAAACCCTGTGGATGGCATTTTCTGTTTGGAGAAACAGGGTTTTAATTTTGGCCAGACTGATGAGCTAATGGCTAGTCTGAGCAGGGCCTAGACCAAAGTGGATTGCTACCGTTGTAAATACCTTTGTACTACATTTGTAGTGACTGGTGTGGGCAGTATTTTGTGAGTTTTTTAAGAATAGTCATGTACAGTAGTCCCTCGCTACTTCACGGTCCGTTTATCGCAGACTCTCTCTATCACGTTTTTTCAAAATAAGACTGGACATGACACACAACTGGCTGATTGATGGATGAGCCGTACCATTGTTATGGAATTTTAATTTAAAATAAATCATTTTAAATTATTTAGCACCTGCTGCACCTTTGTGCAGCCCAGAGCTGCAGAAAAAGCTTCCTCCTGCACCTCTGTGCAGCCCTTACTGCAGGATAAACTTCCTGCTGCAGCTGATCAGCTGTTCTCCATACAAAGTGGAGAAGTGGGCGAGGCCAAGAGTGCTTGTAGGTGGCAAAGAGCTGCGGAAGCAGAGAGCTGAAATCATGATATTCTGTGCTCTTTTAGAGCGTTTAGAGTTTAGAAACATTGTTTAGAATATTGCAAGAGTGTGGGAAGGGTTT